TAACCTAAATATTTATTAACAGGGGAATGTAGAAATAATTTGAAGTTTAAGCATGTATACCTATAGTAGATAATTGAACCACAGCCCAATATATTAACATACATAAATCCTTAAAAAAAAACTTAAGCAAAAAGAAAGAAAACTTACAGAATTATATATGTTTAAGAACATGCAAAACAATATATATATTAGTATGTAATTTATATCAATATATATGCTGTAGAAACATAAAACCATGTAATGTCAAACTCTGAGGTTTACCTCAAGAAAGGTAATCTTCAGCTGAAATTTTCAGATTTAAAGTAATTAATATGATATTAATATATCTGTTAAGACTTTTATCTATGCTTATAACTTTAAAAAAAAAAAAAAAGGCTAGCCGAAACCGGTTTGGATCAGTGGATAGAGTGTTGGCCTGCGGACTCAAGGGTCCCAGGTTGGATTCCGGTCAAGGGCATGTACCTTGGTTGTGGGCAAATCCCCAGTAGGGGGTGTGCAGGAGACAGCTGATTGATGACTCTCTCTCATCGATGTTTCTAACTCTCTATCCCTCTCTTCCTCTCTGTAAAAAATCAATAAAATATATTTTTTAAAAATTAAATTAAAAAACAAAGCTGGTATAAAAAATATATACTAGATACCAGAACATACTATTATATAATTATGAAATTAAAATAGCATGTGTTTTTTAGAATAGCCAGAAAAATTCATGGGGGGTTAAAAAAGAAAAGAACTCAGCACATATAGTGATGTATTATCATTTAGTTAACTAATCCCCTGTTGACAGACATTTGGATCATTTACAATATGTCATGTTTTGGCTTCAGGGAACATTCTTGTACATTACTTTGTGCACTGATGTGAAGATTTACCAAGAATAAGTTCTTAGAAAAACTACTGGATCAAAGAATATGTACTTTAAATGAGCTAATATTACTAAATTGTTCTTCACAAGAATTCTATTAATTTAGACTTACACCAACAGGCTAAGCATAGGATGAACCAGCTGTTCACTGCTCACCACACCCTAGGTTTTTCCAATCTTTCTAAGTACAGAGAAAATAATCTAGGTCATGAAAAAGAAAATGTTTTATAATGGCATCACAAATTAATAGGAAAATAATTCGCATTTACTATAATATGCATAACAGATATACACCAAACAAACACAAACTTCATATCAGATTCCACCTTACTGCCAAGTATTGAAGGGTTAATGTATGCACATATTACTTTATAAACGTAACAAACAGAACCATATAGCTACACAGAAATAATTTTAGATACTTAAATACATAGAATTGTGCCAGATCTCAATTTAGCACAATGATTAGCAGGTTTTCAGATGCCAGAGTCTAGTTCCTTGTGGGGGAAAAAAGCTTCACCTTATATCTAGATAGCCTAGTCCACATGCCAGAAATGCGTAAATTAATGGCATAAATGCTTATGGGGCAGGGGTTGGCAGGGAGGAGGGGTGAAGAGGCGGGGCAGGGAGGATGAAAGATAAAACAGTACAAGTAATCTCAACTCTTGAAAAATGCCATGACCTAAAAGCAGGCACCAGAGCCTCACTGAAATAAGAAGAATCCCTAGAATCTGACTCCAAAGATATGTGCTTTAATAATGATGTTGAGATCCGAATCTAAGATTTAAATGTTTCAGTCATGTTGCAGTCAAAATTAATCATCTACATTATTCTCCAATAATCCCCAATACTTCGTATAATGCTTTGCACATAATAACTACTCAAAACATTTGCTGAATAAATATGACCAATATTCTTTAAATGATAACAGCACTATCACTAAAGAGTCATCAAGAAATCTGCATAAGTAACAATGGTTGATTTTATAGACAGGTAAATGTCAAAAAATATAAAAAGAAAACAGCACACATATTCTTTGTATTCTCCAGAATACTTCATATCCTTTTATAAAAAAACGATATAACTTGTCTCCAAAGTTCTTGTTAAGATATGAAGAACAAAAGAGAACACTGTCAAAGACATCACTCAACGTTAACGTTAGGAAATTACAGTCTTAAATCAAAAAAATTTCACAAGGTCTGAGGCCTGAATTACTAAAGGACACTTGTTTTTCACAAGATCTATCATACTATCCTATAGTCTTAGATAAATTAAGAGATGTTAATTGTTAATCAGGCTCAAAAGTGACACCTGGAAATACTTCTATAAATATATCTATTACCTTCAGGCTAGTATATAAAGTTTACTCTTAAACTTATGAAAAACAAGAATGTATATAACATTTCATTCATTTACTTTTTAAATTGGTACAGATTTCATTATATAAATGATCATATGCAGTAGTCTTCCCTTATCCGCTGGAGATAACATTCCAAGACCCCCAGAGGCTGCCTAAAACCATGAATAGTGCCAAATCCTATACACATTGTTTTTCTCTACACACACATACTTTTTCATTTAAAGAAAGCGTGTTATGGCTTTTCTTTGCATATCAGAATTGTCAGTATCACTATTCTTTTGCTTTGGGGCTATTATTATGTAAAACAAGAGACTTGAACACAAACTGCAATACCAGGACAGCGGATCTGATAACTGAGAGGGCTACTAAGTGACCACAGGTAGCGTACACAGTGTGGGCTCACTGGACAAAGGGATGATTCACTTTCCAGGAGGGACAGAGCAGGATGGAATGGGATTTCATCATGCTACTCAGAAGACACACAATTTAAAACTTACGAATTGTTTATTTCTGAAATTCCCCATTTAATGTTTTCTGACCATGGGTGACTTCAGGTAACTGAACCCACAAAAAGCAGAACCATGGAAAAAGGGGGGAGGAAGGGCTTGGTGGAGTCTACTGCAATAAAGAAATTCTAGCCGTTTATAAAATGATTTCTTAAATCTTTATTTTTTTTTTCAAATTCGCATAGAGCAAAGGCAAAAATAAAGAAATAAATACAAAAGAGTACAGAAGTTAAAAATGATGGCGAAAGTTCCAAATTAATTTGATTACAAAATAATGGCATGAAACAGTTTTAGAAGTAACTACTCCATAAGGTTCAGCCGAAAGTCAAAGAAGGAGCAAGCAAATAATAAATGAACAAGACTGAGAAAAGGAAAACCCCGCTCTCACTACAACAGTGCGTTTTCCCAAGTATTTAACTCAGGCTCACATCTGAACCTATGCTTTCTCAAAAACTTAATGCTTGGTAAAAAGTTAAAATAACGCCAGCCGAGAACAACTCAAGCATATGATTCTTACTGCACACTGGAAAACTATTGTAAGAAAAGAAGGGAAAGATTTAGTAAGCTAAAAAATAAATAAATACATAAATTTTAAAAAATGTAGGTTTGAGAAAAGTTAAGTACTTTCTAAAACTCTTCTTTTGATACAAACTACATAAATGAGTTAAAGCTCCCATTTTATGCCAATTTGGCCAAAGTCTCCCAAGAGGTAACTTCAGATTTGATTATTTGAAAGAACGTGAACCCTTTAATCGATCACCTTCTAATAGTTACCTGACACAGTCCACCTCTCAACTACATATCTATCAGGGTAAAATTAAAATTTAAAACATAAGCCAGATCTAGTCTACATGACTCTCAAAGTGAAACGACAAGATTCAATGGCATCTTTAACTTCACTGGTTCCACATAGAGCACCCAAAGACACCCCCTAGAAATAACGATAATCAGAATATTCTTGCATGTTAAGAAATGATGCCAGGCCAAGCTGGCCCCATAGCTGAGTGTCAACCTATGAACCAGGAGGTCACAGTTCCATGTCCTAACAGGGCTCATGCTGGGGTTGCAGGCTGGAACCTCAGCAGGAGGCAACCTCTGGTCAATGATTCTCTTTCATCATGGTTGTTTCTCTCTCCCTCTCTCTTCTTTCAAATCAATATATACATATATATGTATGTATTATGTATATATATATATGTGTGTGTGTATATATACATAGACATATATACACGTATACATGTATATTAAATAACAGGTATATTCTGCCCATCTTCGTCTTCCTAAAAAACTAAGATTTACTACCAAGTTTTAATTACAAAGTCAGAGAACGAGAGCCCTTTAGGAGAGGACAAACCCACAGAAGCTGTCAGGATCCAATATATCTATCTCACCGGGGGGCACAGTGACGGAATGCAGCCCATTCTTAAAAAATGAAGACACAACATATGCCACGATTCCTTTACGTTACCTCTGGACACACATGCTCCTCCTGTGTAAAACGAAGGAGCCGGACTTTAAGTCGGGCTCTAGGGGCCCTTTTCAGTCTGTGGTTCTACTAAACCAGTTTTGAAATAACAAGTCACACAACTCAGGGAAAATGACATCTTACTGAAAAAAGGCTTAAAAAAAAAACCAAAAAAAACAAACAACCACGACAGATCTGATGCAATAAATCATATCTCGCCCTGCCAAGTGTCACCACCACCATCTCTGAAAGGAACAAACCTGTGTCGGGGTTCGTCGGGCCCGTGAATCAGGAAGCCTCCGGGGTCTCGGGCCCCTTTGTTGGCATTGACGTGAGGAATCAGCACGTCCTCCAGACCCAGGTCGAAGCGTTTGTGTTTCGAAGAGTCCGGGAGGAAGAAGAAGGCCCCAAAACACAGGGTGATGAAGGCACTTAGGATGAGGAGGAGGATAAACTTCTCGGAGAGTCTCAAGGTGGCCCTGTGGTGCGGGAAGGAGGGCGGCCCCAAGTTCAGAGGCGGAATCCTGCGTCCGGACAGCGGCAGCAGGGCCGGGGCGGTCATCGTTCACGCTCTCGGGCAAAAAAAATGCTTTATAAAGTCCTCATCTCCACCTTCCGAATCCTGGCACGAACGGGGGGAATTCAAATTCTCTCCTCGCCAAGGATCGTTGTGCTTTTTTTTTAAAACAGGGCAACCTCTTCACGCTTGCCCCAAAAACATTCAGAAACATGGGCGCCCCCCCAAAATAAACAAAACAACAAAAAAACGATCACCCGTTGACGTCCTGGGGTAGCTCCTTGGCCATGGGGGTTCAGGACCTCCTCGGGGTTCCCGCCGGCGTCCTCCTCATGCCTCGGGGTGAACCCGGCGAGCAGCGCCGCCGCAGAGAGGATGCCAGGCGGCGGCGGGCGCTTCCATGCCGGCGCCCGGGGATGCTCCGGCGGGGCCTCCCGCCCCCGAAGGCGGCCAAGCCCCGCGGAGTTGGAAAGGGGGTCCCCTTCGCCTCCTCGGGCGCCGTCGGGAAAAGCAGGGTCTCCTCGGAAGTCAGCGGCCACCGGGGAGGGCGGTCTCCCGCCGGGAAGCCGGGGAGCCCGGGAGCCGGAGAGGCGGCGGCAGGTCTCGGGCCCCCGCGCCTACGGACGCGGCCCCGGCTCCGGGGAGAGCTCGACGCTGCCCACCGGCCGGCCGGCGCGAAGGGCATCCGCGCCCCGAGCCCCAGCGCCTCCCGGCCGCCGCCGCGTAGCCGCTGTCGCCGCCGCGCGGCTCGGTCAGGAGCGGAACTTCCTCCTCGGGCGGCCACTGAGGAGCCCGGGCGTGAGCGCTGGGAGGGAGGGAGCGCGGGCCGCCCGCCGGCTCCTCCTCCTCCTTTTCCTCCTCCTCTTCCTCCCGCTGCCGGCGGAGCTAACCCGGCCGCTGCCGCCCCCGCCGCGCCCGGATGCGCACACCGAGGAGTCCCCGCGGCCCCGCGGCGGGAGGAGGAGGAGAAGCCGAGCCGCGGCCCCTCAATCCGAGCGCGCGGGGCCGGCGCCTGCTCATTCCTCGCTCGGCTCCGAGGAGGCGGCGGCGCCCCGGGCAGGCGGGCGGGCGGGGAGGTCGGCCGGGCCGCCGGGAGGGCCTCCTCCTTGGCCGCTCGCTCGCTCGCTCCGAGGCGGCGGCGGGAGGGGCGGGGCGTCGGCGCGGTGCGGGGCTGCGCGCGGGCCCGGGCCCCGCCGCCTCTGCCGGACGGAGCGCGCCGAGCCGCGGGGCCCACACTCGTTGGGCACACGCGGGAGCGGGGCCGGGCGGGGGGCGGGGGGCGGGGGACGGCGGGCGCGCACCGGCCTCGCGAGTGGGCGTCCCCGGGCGGCGAGGGCGCGGTGCGCGCGCACGCTCCCGCCCCGCCCGCCGCGCTCCGGCCCCGCGCCGCTGCGGCGTCCGCGCCCCCGGAAGCTCCCGCCGCCGCCGCCGCCGCGTGGACCCGCGGGGGAAGCCGGCCGCCCGCCCCCCGGCGCCTCTCCGGTAACTTCGCCGGCGCCGGTGCCGGTGCCGAGCGCGCGGCCACCGGGTCGGGGAATGGCCCCGGCGCTGGGGCGAGGAGAGGAGGCCGGGTCGCGGGGGGCTCGCCGCCGCCGAGTGGAGTGTCACTGGCATTGGGGTTCAGGCCACCAAGGTCTCCCCGTCACTAGAACTCATGTCCTGGTTAGGGACCAGGGGTTCCCGGGGCCCAAGGAAAAGGTCCCCAACTTCCTCCACGCGGCCCGTGGGCACGGAGCTGGGCACCCGAGGCCTCGATGTTGAGCACCAGCCCTTGTGCCAGGCTCCGTGTTAAAAATAAAATGGCCACCTTGCCCTTTCCATTGGGCTTCCTTTCCGAGGAATCTGGGACAGCAGCCTTCTCCTGGCCCAGTGTCATCACAGGCTTCACTGCCGCCTCTCCCATGGAAGAAACACTAAGTGTGAATGAGGAGGTGCCAGGAGCCCCAAAGACAACAGAGCTGTTTACAATCAGGCGGCAAAGCTGTCTGAGTGGATTCTGTTATCCATGGTATTGAGTAAAAAAAAAAAATGTGTATATATATATATATATATATATATATATATATATATATATATATTTTATAATATATATATATATATATATCCTTGCTCCCAGGTTGTGTTTTATTCTGATACTAAATTGTCATCCTCTCTACACACCCTTACTGATGACTGGGAATTAGAGAGGAGGCCCTTAAATGGCAGCGAGGGGAAAAGTCGGCCGTAGGTTGAAAAACAAGCAAAATAACCTCGTGTTCATTGGCACAATTCAAAGTATTTGGTCTAGTAATAATTAATGTCGTTTTTTAACATTCGTTTAAAATCTTGCTTGGCGTTGACTTGTATTGACATAACCTTCAAACACGTGGTATCTACAGAACGTGTGAAGTGCAATTAACAAGTTTTGCTTGAAAAAGTTTGTGTTTGGTTTGGTTTTTGTTGCAAAACTAGGGCTAAGAAGATGACGGATGAAGAGCATATTCGGCACTGCATGCTTTACGAGTCCAATTAGGAAGAAAAGCAAGTGAGGCTGCAAAAAACATCTGTAGTGCTCTTGGTCAAGATGCAGTTAGCGCCAGAAAATGCCAGCGTTGGTTTGAGAAATTTCGCGAGGGAAATTTTTTGTTAGATGACAAGAGTGGTCGAGGCCGTGTGTCCAACTTTGATCAAGAAGCTCTTCAAGCTCTTTTGGTGCAAAATCCTCAAATTACCCAACAAGAGCTTGCGACAACTTTAAATTGTTCACAAAAAACAATTTCCAATCAATTGCGTGCACTTGGCAAAGTCCAAAAGTTTGGAAAATGGGTTCCTCATGAGTTGACCGACAACAACCGTAATCAAAGAGTCACAATTTGCAGTTTGCTCCTCTCTCGTCAAGACTGTTTGCCGTTTTTAGAGCAAATTGTTACCGGAGATGAACAATGGGTGCTGTATGTTAATTTGAAAAGGCGGCCTCAATGGTTGGACAAAAATGAGGCTCCGCAGCCCAAGCCAAAACCTGACTTGCATGCGAAAAAAGTGATGTTGTGTGTTTGGTGGAATTTTAAAGGAATTCTTCATTATGAACTTTTACCATCTAACCAAACCATTACAAGTGCAGTGTATAGTGCCCAATTGGAAAGGTTAGCCCAAGCTTTAAGAGAAAAAGAACCCGCACTGATTAATCGGAAGCGCGTAATTCTTCACCATGATAACGCACGACCGCATACTGCAAGAATCACTGCTGAAAAACTGCGCCAGTTGGAATGGGAAGTTCTCCCTCAACCTGCATATTCTCCTGATATTGCCCCTTCCGATTACCATTTGTTTCGTTCTTTGCAAAACTTTCTTCTTGGAAAAAAATTTAATAATGAAGAATGCCTCAAAAATGCATTGACCGAATTTTTTGCATCAAAATCACAAGAATTTTACAACAGAGGGATTAAAATGCTTCCTGAGCGTTGGGCACAAGTAGTAGAAAACAACGGCAACTATATTGTTGATTAAATTTTGTTGTATTGTTTAAATAAATTTGATTTAAAAAAGTATTAGAAAACGACATTAATTATTACTAGACCTAATAGCTCTGTGGTAATGAAATGATTCATAGGCTAGAGGGGAAAAGATACAGTTGAAAAAAGAGTCGATTTACTTATATAACCTGTTCCTTCCTACTACCAACTAGTTCCCAATATATCCAAGGAAGATGTTAGAGAAGAAATAACCAGACATGACCATGTGTAGAGAAATGTAGGAAATGTAAAAAATATATAGGGAAAGGAGTGACCTGACTTTAGCCTCGCTCTTTCTGTATTCTTCCATGCAGCAATTTTCAACCTGTGTGCTGCAGAATTTTTTGTCATATACTTTATTGATTTTTTTTTTTTTAACAGAGAGGGAGAAAGATAGAGAGAAACATCAATCAGCTGCCTCCTACACACCCCCTACTGGGGATGTGCCTGCAACCAAGGTACACGCCCTTGACCGCAATCGAACCCGGGACCCTTCAGTTCGCAGGCCAATGCTCTATCCACTGAGCCAAGCCAGTTAGTGTGCTGCAAGAATTTTTAAAACAAAATTCGCGATGTCCAACTATTTAGTCAGGGCCACTGACCTCTTCTCCCTTAGCTTTTCACATACAGAAATGACAACAGCCCTGGCCAGTTGACTGGGCGTGGTCCCGTGCGCGGAGGGATTGCAGGCTCAGTCCCCTATAGAGAGAGCAATTGACTTCTTGGGTAGTGGGGGGAGGTCTAAAATAGAAAGGGCTGGACAGAGGTGACAGCAGAGGTATGTCAAACCTTGCAGCCCCTACACATATCTTCAAAACCGGATTCTCCTGTCACCTTTATAGAGAGCAATCTGATGCCAAAGGAGGTGACGCGTTCTTTATAAATCCTCATACTGTATTAAAGTTGTTTTTAATCCACTTAAGGCAGTTAGCCTGAGAATGTTTCACTGATTTGCGTATCCATCCATTAAACGTTATTGAGCATGCCCAAAGATGAATAAAATATGGCAAGCAGCTGGATATAATGAAAAAACTATGAGCTCTGAAACTAGAGAACCCTGGATCTAATCCTACCTTTACCATTTACCTGTGTGATTTTAATTTATTTGCCCCTAAAAGTAAAATAAAATTCCATACTTTATAGCGTTGTTAATGAGGATTAAATGAGGTAATGTATGTGATAGTGCTTCTCTGTAGTTGGGATTCAATAAATAGTAACTACTATTTTTATTCTAGGCATCAGGATGAGTAAGGAGTTGGCAGAGAAAGAGGTGGGGAGAACCTGTGAAAAGACGTGGATGAAGGAGTATGGCATATGTTAGGGGGACCTCCTTTCCTCTGGCCCCATATTCCACAGGGGCGGAGGAAGGTGTTGGAGATTATTCATTAGACTAACTTTTGGCTCCTACACCACTAACCTTCACATTCAGAAGTGATTTACTTGGCTGGTGAGTATTGTTACATTCATTGGCTCATAGTTTTTGACTGGATGGAGTTAATCTATTAAAAAGACCCCCCAATTACTGAGGATTCTTTCTCTTGTGCCCCAGAAGACCTGTGCTGACAATGATCTTGGATAAATGTGTCTGCCCTGCAAACCCAACCTTCCCCTTTGTTGGGCTGTTCTCAGGCTAACATTTGTGATGGTTGAGCGTTGCAAAATGTTAGCAAGCTCTTTTGGGTTACAGATCTAGAACTTTGTTCTTTATTAACTTATCTGCAATAAAGCTGACATTTAAAAAATCTCCACTTGCCTATCCTCTTTGTCTTATTTCATCCAAACTTCATGCAGAGTGATGGGAGCAGGACATCCAATTAATTGACCCTCTAAAGAAATTAACTATGGCTAGAATGTAGATTGTAGAGGAAGGGATGGTGAGAGAGAAAGCTGAAGAGGAAAATACAGAAAGATTTCTGCTCAAGTTGGTACAGCAAGATTATGTTTTGATCCATTCCCTTTACTACACACAAATAACAATGATAGCTAAAATATACAAAGAGAAAACCAAAAAGACATAACCAGGCTCAAAAACAAACCTTTTCATAGATCAGAAATAGAACTGAAACAGCAAGTCTAAAGCCACAGGACCCCAGTGAGCCTATTCCAAAAGCCAAGATTTTTGTCTTCCTGCAGGGAGATAGGAACTAAAGATGCTCCCAGCAAGGTGGAGGAGAGGAGCCATGCTTAGTTCTAGAAGTGTGGTGCTTGTGAAAGGAGGCTGGAAATAAACAGTAGCCAGCCCACTGGCTGGGGAAGCAGAGACAAAGATATGGCCTTGGAGTCAGGAACCAAGCCAAGCAACTGGCCATGGGATTAGTTTTGCAACATCCCCAACATTGCTGTGGGGTAGGAGCATCAAAATGCCAACATTAGACCTGATTCTATAATGGAGGTCCAAGGGATCAGGTGAGAGCAAAAGTCACTGAACATTGAGGGGCAAGCATAGAAGCAAACACATAAAAGCATATAAGATCTTCACATTCAGCATTAGTATAACCACCAAGTTCCAAACACATACAAATATCTAATATTAAGAAAGCCCAACAGAATGAGCAATCAGAACATTAATTTACTATTATGAAATGAAATAAACTATGGAACTGCCTGACAACTTATTTAATATTTTTGCATTCTCAAAGCAACAAATGAAAGTAGGTATCAGATGTTAGCCAACTTTAGAACAGAAATATGAAAAATAACTAATAGAAATCTTAAAAATAAAAATATCACTGAAATGAAAAAAAAATTAATAGATGGAGTTAACTGGGGAACTTGTCAAAGTTTAAGAGAAAAAGTAGTGAATTAAAGGGATGCTCTGAAGAATTCACCCAGAACACAGTAGAGAATAATAAAGAGATTTTTAAAATATGAATAAAAGTTAAGATTCATGGGGATTCTATTGAGTGGTGCCAACACATGCCTCATAGGAGTTCCAGAAGGAAAAACTGAAAACAAAAGGAAAGAGGAGAGAAGCTATACTTGTTTTTTAAAAAAGGAAAAAAATGCTGAAACCAGTTTGGCTCAGCGGCAGAGTGTTTTTTTTAGGAAAAAAAAAAGAAAAGAAAACCTTCTAATTAAATATTTTTTTCCTTTTTTAAAAAAAAATATTTTATTGATTTTCTTACAGAGATGAAGGGAGAGAGAGAGAGAGCTAGAAATGTCGATGAGAGAGAAACATTGGCCAGCTGCCTCTTGCACACCCCCTACCGGGGATGTGCCCGCAACCAATGTACATGCCCTTGGCCGGAATTGAACCTGGGACCCTTCCACTGAGCCAAACCGGTTTCGGCTAATTAGAAGGTTTTCTAATAAAAACATCAGAACATATGTGTAATGAGCAAGATAAATAAAAGTGAAGTAACTTTTATCAAACAGAGAAACCACAGAGCAATAAGGAAAAAAGATAAAATCTCAAGTTACCGAAGGGAAAACATTGATTATCTACAAAAGGACTATACCTAGAGTGCTAAAAAACAACAGTAACATGAAAACTAAGTATCTTAGAAATACTGAAAGGACCACTCTCAACCAAGAATTCGGTTTCCAGATAAACTGTCATTTAAGGGAGAAAGCAGAACAAAGACATTTCAATCATAAAAGACTAAGAGAGTTTAACACTCACAGACATACACACAAAGACCTACCGAGGAATGTACTTCTACCAGTAAGAAAAATAAGCCCAGAGAGAAAGCATACAAGAGGTACTGGTGAGGGAGGAAATAAATAAAATGTGATGGTAGAATTAAAAACAACTACTCTGTGGAGAGCAGCTACAGCATTTGGACATGATCAAGCCTCAGAATGACTTGTGGCAAAGCCACATACAAGTCCCAGCTTGGAGAACAAAACCCTCCAGCACAATTATAGCCAAAAGGCTATGGTTGTAAGCTTGATCATATACTCCAACCCTGCAGTCCTAGGTAGATAAGGGATGTGGGCTGGGGCGGGGCGGGGGGGGGGGGGGGGGGGAAGGGGGAGTAAAGCAAGTGCTGCCAAAACAAGGCTTGACAGTGTTCAGAGAATGGCAACAGGAAAGAAGCAGATTTGAAATTCACAAGAATATTGTAAACATCTTGCCCTTGTTTTGCTTTGAGTGATCTGACTATAAAATAAAGCTTCAACTTACAGGCTGTGTCACTGTTTCCGCATTCAGGCACAGTGATCCACCGGGCCCCAACTGTATTCTTTTGTCTGTCTTCTTTAATCCTTCACCGCCCCTCCTCAGGTTCACCCTGGCTGTGCTGGACGTGGTTCACTACTCTAGTGTTTAAAAAAATAAGAACAATGGAAATACACAATGGTTAGTTAAGGCCTTTGTCACATTTGGGAGAAGTATAAAAATAATGACTTTGTCTAAATACTTTATAAGAAACTTTATATTAATAAAAAGCTGATATAGCTGAAACCGGTTTGGCTAAGTGGATAGAGCATCGGCCTGCAGGCTGAAAGGTCCCAGGTTCAATTCCAGTCAAGGGCATGTACCTTGGTTGTGGGCATGTCCCCAGTAGAGGCTGTGCAGGAGGCAGTTGATCAATGTTTCTCTCTTATTGATGTTTCTAGCTCTCTATCCCTCTCCCTTCCTCTCTGTAAAAAAAAAAAATCAATAAAATATATATATTTTTAAAAGGCTGATACAGAAAACTAATCATTCTATATAGAAGACAGAAGGAGAAAAAAGTGAAAGGAAAGGCATGCCAAACACAACACACACAAAAGACAATAGTAGAATTAAGTACCAACATAATAACAAACAACACTGAAGATATTTAAATTTCTTATTAAAAGACAGATGATCAGATGGGTATAAAATAATATTCAGGTATATAATACCAGCAAAAGACACACAAAACTAAAACACTAATATACTAGACATAAACGTATATAAAAAGAAAGAAAACCAATGAAACATTATTAATACTAGATTCCAAAAAGTCTTTTAAACCAAATGTATTATTAGAAACAAAGAGGGTCATTACCAAGAAGTTAAATGTTCCTAATAACATTGCTTTCAATTACAGAAAATAAAACCAAGAGAAATCGACAAGCCCACCATCTGAATGGGAGGCTTTACCAATCAGACACAGCTAGATCAAACAGACAAAAACAGCTAATAGAGATAGGAGCATGAAGGGCCTCCGAGGAGGCCACATTAAGGAGTTGGGTTTTATTCTGAGAGCAGTAGGAAGCCATTAAAGGGTTTTAGGCAGAGGAAGGCTTAGATCAGACATGCATTTTTAGAAGGATCGCTTTGGCTATAAAATGGATAATGGACTTCAGGGTGGTCAGACTGCTACACAGAGGCAGGGACACCATTTTAAAAAGTTCTTTCTATCATCTAACCAAGAGACATGAATGGCCTGAACTACAGTAGTACCATCGGTGAAGAAGAAGAAGAGAAAGCATTTCAAGAGGCATCCAGATAGCATAGTTGATTGGGTGGCAGGGGAGGGGATCAAAGGTAGTATCCATATTCCTGCCCTAGAAAGTCTGATGCATGGTAATGAGGAGGGAGAGCAGGGCTTTGGGGAGGAAAGTGATCCTGATCCCTTGTTTCTGATTATACCACTTAACTCTCAGCCTCTCAATTCTGACATTCAAACTGGCTCATTAAAAAAGTTAAATTATCCCTGGCTGGGGTAGCTCAGTTGGTTAGAGCTTCGCCCCAATATGCTAAGGTTGCAGGATGAATTCCTGGTCAGAGTATATACAAGAAATCAGCCAATGAACGCATAAATAGGTAGAACAACAAATCGATGTCTGTCTGCCTCTCTCTTCCCCTTCCTCTTCCTAAAATCAATCAATAAAATTTTTAAAGACTTAAATTATATTCAAAATACAATGTAAATCAATTTGAAAAGATGTCTATCAAAAAATTCAACAAAATGAACACTCAAAAATTCTATTTTAAACTTTTGGTGCTTAGAGGATATTTCAATAATCTGGGGGAATTTATACTTTAACAGTATCCCCCCAAAATGTGTCTATTCTAAATAATCACTTCCACACAATAGTAACAGTCCTTTAAGATTATTTCTATTTTATTCCATATTTTCATACTTATATATACATAATGAATATTCAAATACACCTCTATACCTACCTACTGAGGAAATAAGCTAGTCATGACTTTCCTTAGGGCACAGCTTGTACTAAGGACAAGTAAATCCAGTCTGATGACCTGTGAATTCTTACAGAGAGCCATAGATTTCATAGCACATTGCTTCTTTTCTTGTTATTAATTGCCTTACATTATTGTGTGAGTTTATGATGTGTATTTATCCTTCCACAAACAATGATTCTTGCGTTGACTGAAGTTGTGAGCCGTGTACCTATTATACAGCCAAACTGAGGTCCTGAGAATTAAGGAGCTATTTTTTACAAAGGCACTTTACCTAGTAGCTTCAAGCATGACAAAGGTGGGAAGAACTTACAGGTTTCCTACTATGAATGTTAAGGTTTTGTACTGTATTTTTTCTAAAGCCATTCCAAAATGCAAATAAGATTAAAAGTTCCAGATGTGCTGTGCGATTTCAGCGAAACATTTACCGCATCCAGTAAAGCTTGAGCCTGGAGTCCAGAACAGGGCTGCTCTATGGGCCTAGAATCCTTTGGAATTGTAGAAGGAATCCGACTGGGAGTCAACAGACTGGAAGTTTCTTGAGAGTAAAAGAACCATAATGAGATATGCTACCCTAGGATTGCCTCTTAAACGATGGCAAGGATGTGTTTTTGAGAAGATGAAAGCTTTTTTGAGACCTAATATTGCATTAAATTTCACACATGGAGTCAGTTGTGCATTGCAAGCCATTACTGTACAATGTTGCCTCAGACCACATTGCTTCTGCAGCCCTCTGCATTCAGGCAGGGGCAGTGCAAGCAAAACAGTGAGTGGGCTTCTCCTTCCGGGCCAGTTGCTCTGACGCTCAACCTAAAGAGTGATTTGGGTGTCACATGCTATGTAGACATCTCTCCGTTAGTGGAGAAATGCCAAAATCACAGAGGGCCTGCTATCAAGATGTGGGGTGCCTCTTCCCTATAATCTTATAAAGATTTAATATGTAAATGGTCATTATGCCGTGAAGCGTAATGACCAACAGCGTAACCACCGGATCACGGATCAGCAGAAAGGTGGGGCAGTGAGCTACAAATTGGCAACAGAGAGCTATAGAAGAGGGTAGGGAGGCAGAGGGTGCTACAGGAGGGCAGGGCAGCGAGCTACTGGGAAGCTACTGGCACACGGATTTGTGGCCAAGGCTACTAGTGTAAGATAATAGAGCTACTGCACTTTGCTTTTCTGATATTTTCTAAAATCATAACTTGTTAGTTTTAAACAGCATGGACAAAATTAGGCCATGGCAATAAAATTATAGTTCTTTATATTTCCCGTTAAACCACATATGTATTAAAGTTAAGGGGTTCTGTGTGTGTGTGTGTGTTTGTGTGTTTGATTGTAGGTGTTTCTCTATTTCCGCATCAAGCACAGAAAAAAAAAGAGTTGGGCCGGTTCCTGAGTAGAGGGCCTGGAGATTGAGAAATAAAAGAAAGAAAGAGAAGACAGAAGGAAAAAGCTGGGAGCCGGGTGGGACCACTGTACTCTCTGATGGAGGGACAGGAACCCAGAGCCAAGGCAGCAAGTTTATTTTATACCCCCAAATACCAGGGGGTTTCACCAGAACTTAGGACCAAAGGAGCTTACTTGCATTCTTGAGTAGGCCCTAGCATTCCTGGTGTTTGACTGGATTTACATATCAAAGTCCCACTACTCAACACCTGGGCAAAGGTAAGTCAGTGCTGATAACACCCTTGCCTTTTTGGCAAAGCATGTTCCCAGGGCGTGGCCTTGCCTGCTGCCTTGGTTTCAGCTGACAATAATTAAAGAAATGCCCACGTGCCTTCCCAGGGGGTCCTCTGCATTTGATGGTAATGTTTTTCTTTAAATCTTTGTACTTTCTGAAGAAAAAAATAATATATATATATATAT